AGCCACTCGGCCGGCCCTGAAAAACTCAATTTTTAGTAGAATTAATCTATTAATAAATGGAAATTGCTTGATAGAAAGAGCAGTTAGACAATGATGACAAAGAAGCCAAGAGAGATGGGAAGTAGAAATAGTTGGGAAACGATGCTGTTTTTTGCTCGTTCTTATGTTTCAATATGGTAGATTCTTGACAATATTTACAGGGCTAATGACCTAACAAGACAAATGAGCTGAAGGGAGCAGGAGAGACAGATGATAACTGATGAAGCAGGTTCAGTGTAGCAAAGGGACAGGATGATTAGCGTTGACCAGAAGTGCAAGAAATGGTGCAGGAGGAGCTCAAGGGATGCTGGTCCAGGAAAAAGATGGAGTGGAGAACCTGAGAGTTCAGCAAAGGCGAAAATGAAAGGGAACACGTTCCTCTCATTTCATTTCCGGGCCTCTGCTCTAAAGTAGGCCTTCTCTGACCCTTAAAGTCATGATTCGGTTATTTATTGTTATATTGACTAGATATTTATTCAGTGCTCACTATGTGCCAGGTGCTGCTTTGGTAGTGAGGGTGCAGCAGTAAATGAAATAAAGTCCCTGCTCTTAAAAAGCTTCTTTTCTATGTAGGGAGACAGGCAGTAAATAAATAAATATATGAATATATATTCCAAAATCTTAACTTCTTTCCCCTACTGCTCTGACCCAACTCATCTCTCTACATCCCCAGCTATAGCATGCCATTAATCCCAGCATCTCAAACTTAATGCAGTATATAGATGATGTATTATAGAGTTGTACACTTGAAACCTATGTTTTATTGACCATTGTCACCCCAATAAATTTTAATAAAATAAAATGCCGGACTTCAATAAAAAAGTTTTCAGCCCAAACTGGAGACCTTGCCCACAGAAAAGCAGATCTGACCCACAGTAACATATCACTTAAAGAAACCAGTGTCAGGCCGGCCGAGTGGCTCAGTTGGTTAAGAGCTCGCTCAAGGGTTTGAGCTCTGAGCAACAGCGGTTCGAGTCCAGCCTGAGCTGAGCAGCCGCTGAGCTGCCAACAGGTAGCAGGATGGCTCAGCTAAAAAAAAAAAAACCCAGTGTCATTCCTCCAGACCAAGAGCACATTTTGATATTTTCTGTGGGTTTTAGAAAGCAAAATTAGCATAACTACTGTATCAGACACTAGATCACCTCACCTCACATACCCTCCAGTGGGCATGATTCGTGCCATTGTTGTGGTAAGCTATGGGCACTGTTTTCACCACCTCTGCCCCCGGGAGTTCCTGTCCTGCACCTGAGAGCTGCCCACTACTGACTGAGAAGCAGGGACCAGCTCACTTTGCCCACGCAGGACTGCACCCACCAAGGCCTGGCTCTCCAGGGGCTGCCCAGAGAGTCCAGAAAACACTACATGGAAGTAGCATGGGGCAGACTCGAACTAATGAAAGACAAAAGAAGGGGAGAGCCAGGAAGTAAACAGCTGGTGCTTCCTGCCTCCCTCCCCCAGTGCCAGTTCTGAGATGCAATAGTTTAATACAGCCTCTCTGCAAATGTCTCCCAATAATCCATCCATTTGTGTTTCCCTCCTTTTTCCCTTTCCCCCCCAACTCTTGCATCCTGGGATTGTACCATCCAATAAACTGTCAGCATGAAGTGTTTGCCTTGGATTCTGTTTCTAGAAAACCTGGGCGAATTTTAGAAACTTGCAAATGGTAAATACATTATGCGTTATTAGAAACACAGAGAAATTAAATAAAACATATGTGTAATGAAAGCATTCATTTATTTGCATTGGGTTATGGGCGGATCCTGGAAAGAGGCGTTGTCAAGAACAGTCATTGAAGGAGAATGAAGTTAAGAAGAAATGGAGAATGAAGAGTCAAGCAACAAAGAAACAGAGTTCTCCTTGTAGAGCATCAACAGGAGATAATCAGAAACACATGGCTATGGTGAGTACAAATGTATTCCCCAAATAGCAAAGTTTCCATTAACGTAGCAGATACGAAGGAGATTTTCTTCCATTGTGTCTGTTTATGTGTTCCTATGTTACAAAATCTTAAAGTGTTAGATTCCAGAAAAATATGTAAATCCACTGAGTGACCTAATTCAGTGAAAACAACTGAAATTGTCTTCCGTTTATGTTACATTGAAATAATTTTAAGACACAGCTAATCATCAGCCAAAATTCAAGCAACTTAACGCTCAGAGAAAACCCAGAAGAAATGACCAAAATACATCTGCTTAGCAAGGCACTTTGGAAAGTTAAAACGGAAAAACAGAATTCAGATTTGGCCAGAAAAAGGGAGAGTACTTCCTCACCATGGAAAGTTGGCATATGCTATACCATGATCTCAATCTGGGCTGAAAACAGTTTAAGACATTGAACTGGATCCCAGTTGTAAAGGTGTGAGGGCACAGTCACGTATCTTTAAATATCTGCTGTCACACAACCGTCTGTTGCTGGCTGATACAATACAAAAGGGTCTTCTCTTGGGAACAACTGAAACCAAAAGACTGGGACATACTTATTGCTCATTCAGGGAAATATGAAAACTGATTCAAGAAATACTTTGAGTATACTTTGGTTTCTGAATTTTATTCCTGGAGACTCTACAGTATTCACTGAATCACTTTCAAATGTCCTCATGTGACTTCTTTAAGATTTTTTTTCCTTTTTTAGATTTATAAATCTAGAAGTAACTTTCCTTTCCTGGAGGGGCCATTAGTTTAAAGCTTAAATGTATTGCTTTTCAAGCATTTTTCATGTTTCTTAGTATTTCTTTAACTCCAAATACCTGAAGGGCATCAGAGAACAGCACACACATACGCACAATATTTTGCATAAAATCTTGGGTTTGGTAGACATCTTATACATCCAAACACTTTCTGGAATCCATGAAGCTTAGGCCAAAACCAGCTGTTTTAAGTAATTTTATAAAGCACTTAAAGATGATGGATACAAGTAAGGGGAAAACGCTAGTAACATGCATATTTTGGTATGCCAATAAAAGTAATAACGAAACCTAAAACTTATAGATAGAAACAAGGCTTTTTATATAAAATACCTAAAAGCTATATTTTAGGTCTTAAGGGAAATCTACATAGTGTCTCATCAGTTATGTTTTAAGTGAGCTTTGTAAGTAGCTGTTTTTGAGAATAATCTATATATTGACTCCGAAGACATATCTTTTTTCCCTTAAGCTATCTGAAATAATATTTAATCTTCAAAATTGGATTATTATTCAATTCTTTTTACATCATATACTACAAAGGGAGCTAATTTATATCTGATTTTAACTAACTTCTCCATGACACTTTCCTTCTAGTTTCCTTCTATCTCCAGTGAAAACTGGCTCTAAACCAATGGCACAAATTAAGTTAAAAATAGAGACACATGGCAAATGTTTGGAAAGTCAGTGTTCATATCTACTGGGCTTCTGGACTGTTGTGAATTTGGAATCTTGCTTATGGTTAAAATATTGAAGACTGTGAACAATTTGAAAAACAAAAAATTCATCACGTTTGGCATTTTTTGGTGAGGAAAATTCTAGAGTAAATGTTTTATATAAGCAACCAATAAGTTTTGGATGGTTTATAAGTAGCAGAAGATCCAAAGCTGAAATGGAATTTTCTGTGACAGCCTACAAATAATAGTTAACATATGCCTAACTTACAGACAAAAGCAAGAGTCACGTAGTCAAGTAGGGAGTGAGAAATCTAAGTTAATGAAGAAAAACCTTTTGTCCATCTCAGCAAAAATTTTAGGTACTTAAAGAGCAAAACCATTTCAACTGTTTTTAAAGAAATGATATTTACTAATATGAGAAACAAACAAGAAGTGACTTTCAAAGTCACAGTTTACACCCATCATAAATGTGATGTCCTCAGAAAACACAAAAAAAGCAAATAAGAGTTAAGTTCATGCTTATATAAATGAACAGAGCATATGCATTCTTCAGTTCCTTTAGAACATTTAATAATTGATTCACACTTGCAGTTGAAGTTTCATCTAGAAGTGTTTTTAGTTATAAGTATGATTTTCTATTTTCTGCATAAGGTATTTCTTGGTCAAGAGTTTCCTGACATTACTGATAAAATAAGTCACTGACTTAAAAGTTTTCAAGTTTCCTTTGTTTTAACCTAATATTATTTTGTATTTAAATAAGTTCTTAGAGTTGTAGTTTCACACTGTTACGAGAACTTTGAATTTACTTCTATTTAGAGCATCAGTCTCACCGTGGGAACCAGGTAGATGTACCATGTCATAATGTGGCCCACCTGAACATCTTTGAGGGTTAGTCATCCTATCTGTAAAATGATGACACACATACCTACCTTCCCTGTCTCACAGGGTCCAGTCTGATATGAAAGACATGAAATGTTTTTAAAACAAAGTGGTAGTCGTGATGGAGGTGTTAGCAGTAATGGTAGCAGTATTGGTATTCATCAAGCAATTCTGCTTCAAACAATCCCATAATCATAGGATTTACTGCAAATATAAGATAGTACTCTATAGATTCCTAAATTGACTTGTTATACTACTTCCTGTAAGTATAAATATCATTGGTTTTGCTACCATGAATTTTGTGTGTGTGTTTCTTTTTTCTTCTCTTTTAGACTGGACTATTTTAAATGTCATCATTTCACTGACAGGAACAAACGGAGTGGTATATGAAAACAGAAATTCTGAGTGTTTTTGATTTACGTTCCTATAAATCTTCTGATCTTAGAATCCTAATATTTTAGGAAGCATTCACATCATTCCCACCTCCTCCAAACTGTCTATTAAGTTGAAATTAAGTGAAATTCTAAGAGATAAAAACTTTCTGGAAGGGAAATAAGTTGAAGCTAGCATGTGTTTCGCTGTCCTAAGGTCACTCTCTGGGCTGTGTATTCTCTGGATCCCTTTCAGAGCTCATGGAAGTTAATTTTAGTTTTATAGGAAGGACAGAGAGAGGCAGGCTGCTATCTTTGCAGAAAATGTCAAGGTTAAGCTGATGACCATCGTACCTTTCTGATTTCCTGAGCACTGCTGGGGAGAACGAAGCACTGTTTGTCTGGAGAGAATCCTTTCTTGCATCTGCTCGTCTGGCTGTCGGTGGGTGTGTTTGGGGCAGCCCCGGGGACAGTGGCTGGGAGCTTTCTCGTCCCTCGCAGTGTCAGGGTCTGGTAGAAGAGACAGATCGCCACCACCAAGCCCACCAAGAAGGGCCGGGGGCAAAACCGCCGACGACAAAGGAACACTGGACGACAGACCATGACCAGTTCAACTTCACTTGGCCCGCATCCACGTTGCCGGAAAAGTCATAGCAGCTATTTTTTGTCAGCATGAAAAATAGAAATCTGTCTTCTTTTTCCACAACTTACATCAAGATTGCTCCATCCCGCTTAAGAACTTTCCGAAGAACCATGCCAAAGAATCATCGGTCCCCAAAGTCTGAGAAGGTTAGTAAAAGCTGTCCCATGGATGACAGAAAATAAAGTGGCTGGCCTGGGTTAAAAAAAAAAAAAAGACATCAAAATAATAAGAGTTGTAACTAATAACCTGAGCGTCCCTCCAGGCTGCCAAACTGTTGCTTCCGGTAATGCCTGATTTTCACAACATCCTTCAACGCACAATAAAGGCTTTACAGGAAAACAGAAGACAACCCCAGCGTAAATCTGGAGCCTAAACACAGCATTGAAAAACGCAGGAGGTTAAAACCCGGAGCGCCTGTAGCACAGCTGGAGACAGGCCAGCCTGCGGGCGCAGCTCTCATTTTCGCTCCGGTTTTAACAGCAGTCCAGCGTTCAGCCTTTCATGTTGCTTAACTGCTTCCCTTCATTCAGTTTTAAATTGCCACTTTCCTGGAAGCATTCACGGCTTTTCACATAAAAAGGGAAGAAACGGTTTGAATGGACATGGTTACTGGGAGGGTTTTGCTTGGGTTTGTTGCATTCCGTTCCAAATTCCAAGTTCTGGGTACTTACTCGGTTTTCATCCTTTCAGTCAGAAAAAAAAAAAAAAAAGTTTCCGTGCTCCCCTAGCGGAGTGTTGAGCAGAGCCACTCGGAAGGAAACACCCAGCGGCGGGGCTCCAATTCATCTCCCACACGCGGACACACACGCGCGCAGACACACAGCGCCACGCGCGCGCCTGCTGCCCTCGGGGCGGGAGCCGGGCCCGCGGGCACCGCAGCCAGAGCGCGGGCGGCGCGGGGCGGGGCTACGGCCCGGGGCTCTCGGGTCCTCGGGGGCAGCTGGAGCGGCGCAGGCTGCTCTGGACACAAACGTGGGCTTCCACAGATTGGAGACGGGGGTGGGAGGGGGCAGCATGTCTCATTCCCCCCGAAATGTGGCTGCCTCCCCAGGGCAGCAGAATGGTAAATACGCACGTGATGTTTGATCCGTTATGTAATTTCTTTTTCCTAACACAACATTGCAAAAACAAGTAGCCCTTCGTCAATTGATGACCAAGGTTGAGGGTGAGATTAGAGCAAACTCTGTGCGTGAGGCGGGAGGCTCTTCACTTGAGGGTATGGGGATACGCGGGTCGTGACTACCGTCTGGACCTCAGAACATACAAGCCTGTTATATGCGCCAGAATGACTGCAAGTGAACCGTCTGCCTTAGCACCTAACCCACTTCACAGCCCTTATTACTCCTTTTCGGGACTAATGACTGAGTATTTCAAAGGCTAATTGCCTGGCACTTTGCTCTTATACCGAATTGATTGTATCAGGTATTGAGCAACTTTTACTCAGTGGAAACGGGTACACAGCTAGCTTTGCCCAAAACTCAACTCAGTGTAATGCTATACAGACCGCCACAAGGACACTCCTAGGAGGGCAATTCTGCAAACTCCATCCGTTTTTGCTGAGTCAGCTGAGGGACCCGCCAAGGACAGAGGCAATCTGTCTAGTGCCCAGTGCTCACCTCTCCCAGCCCTTGCTTTGCAAACTCTGGATTCCCAGGACCGGTTTAAGGCTGATGGCAGACATTCTTCAAAGACTCTGAATCTTAATTGGTTTTGTAACCTGTTTCTAACTCAAACTCCTTGCAGTCTGAGGTTCTTCTGTGAGGCCACACCCCTAGAGTGATCCCTTCCTTTTGGCAGGCTCCTATCAGTCACTTATATTTTGTGAGGCGGAGCGCCCCCTGGGGTGCCCAGCTATTATAGACTCAGAAATGGGCATCTACAGTAGTTCCTTACTTGTGAGACACTACATTATTTTAACACCTTATAAAAGTTTCATTCAAGTTCTACAGAATAAGTATTATCACTAAATCTGTATTTATCCCAGTCCTTTCTATATTTCCCACAATGTGTTTAATATTAATTTATTTATAGGAACAGGGTGCTCAATCCCATGATAAATGGAGTACAGAAAAACAAAATGGAATTTGACTTTTAGAAGCCAAGAGTTTTAAGAAGAAATGGCTAAACAATAGTGTTTTAGAAGATATGGTTTGGGTGGATGCAATGTGATTTGAGACAACAGGAAGTATGAGATCTCGAAGATGGGATTGTCCCTGTGTTGACGAGATCCAGGCTGTGACAAAGTTATTTACTAGGCGAAAAGGAATGGACATGCAGTTCTATTAAGGCAAGAAGTCTGAAAAACTGCGAGTTGGAGGAACCTACAGGGTCATTTTTATGCATTCTTAAATGGCTTATTCAGAATACAAAAGAAAGCATAACTCAAAATGCTAAAATCATATTGCCCTTGGCTTAAAAAAAAGACAGCAACATAATCTTATAACTAGACTTCAGATAACAGAAATCAGAAAGGTGGAAACTTAATGTCCCAGAAATAACGTTGACAGGCTGAAGAACGCAATTGCCCATTTTAACCAATGGGTCCAAGAGCACGAGAGAAGATAGCAGATAAAAGGATGTCCGCAGAACAGAGAAAAGCATTGGAGTGGGAAGGTGCAAGAAGAGGTGGAAGAGAAGTTACAGCAGGAATTAGCACTGAACAGATTAAGGGGGTCCATCAATTACATTTGACATTAGCGTTAACCCAATCTGGGTATGAATCATGGTGATGCTTATCAACTGTTTTTAAGCATGTGATTTGTGAAATGAGGATACGCATGCCTCTCTTGACGTGTTGTTGGGGTAACTAGATGAGATAATGCATGGAAAGCGCCTAAGTGTTCTGTGCGCATTTGTTGGGAGAATGCGTGCTGAACACATGCGTTATGATTTGGATCCTGCCGCTGAGCTCAGTCTATGCGTCAGACACATGAACAGATACGTAAACAATGTAACAGGGCTCTGGGGACACAAAAGCACCCAAAGCAAACGAGCACTTAGTCTTAGTTCTTTTCCCTTCGCTCTGTGAGCTGGAGGCGGGTGGCAGATACCAGTTTGGGAGCAGGAGCGCAAGGGTGGGGATAGGAGTGGAGACTGCAAGTGGGAGGTGTTTATGCCCGAGTGGGAATGGAAAGCGAAGCGGGAGCGTTAGTCTGAGGGCGTTAGGACAGGCGCAATGAAGACAGAGTAAGTTGGTTCAGCAAAGGGAGTGGGAGGATAAATATGCAGAACTCTGAGCCTGTGGACTCCGGCAGTGTCTCAGAGTGAATGTTTTTGTGCATCTAGTTTCATAAAGTACCCCGCCCACTAAATCATTTCAGTATCCAAGGGCCGGTAATTTCAGCAGCATCAACCTGGGACAATAGAGTGACAGGCTTCTCCAATACAAATAAACTCTTCTATCATACACAGGTTACATTTTATAATCATTGTTTGAAGAAGGTGTTTTCAAAAACTTATTAAACTAGAGGAATAAAAATACCCATACCAATGAAGAGTCCAGTGTTAGATCAGGAACTCTGGGAGAGTTGCTTACCTCTTTATCAGCTTCCTCATAAAATATCGGCTTCAGTGATCAGTATATAAGCTCCAAGGTCACCTGAGGCTTCAGTTATGCTTCTAAGGATACATTTGTTCAGATTTCCTCTCTGTTACAGCCTGGCAGGAAGGTGAAAACTTCTGATTACAGGCCCGTTTGGTTTCCTGCAGGGGCAAGCCTTTCTCTTTCAGGAAGGCTCCTGACAATGATGCCGTGAGATGCAGCAGAAGCGCCTAGGGATGAGGTCACGACTGGGTCCTGGGTGCTGCCTGGGCACTCACCTCCCAGCACTTCTGGCCTAGAGAATTCGACTGCCCTCTTCTCAACTCCTGCTACCTTTCATCTAATGCTGGCTCTAGAACTTTCCACGGTAGCTCTCAACATGTTTTTAAATCGTGAATCACACACTGAACCTCTACTATGCCAAAACACCGTCCTAGGCACAGAAGACATATGGCAAAAACTATAAGTGACTAAAATACAATAAACACTACTGATAAATTGGTCAATGTAGGATAACTTCCATTACAACCTCGAAAGCTCAGTGGCTGGATACAATAAAAGCACTCAAAATTTTTCAGTATTTGTCAGTTTCTATTAAGATGCTTACCTCAAGCACAACATTTGTTCAATTTACACATGGAAATAGGAGGCTGCAGTGAAAATCTTCATTTTTCTACTATCTTTCTCTTGTTTGATGTTTATTTAAATAGATACATTCTACAGTCTCTTTACGTTTCTACATGAACAAACAGCCCAGGCAAACCAAACGCTTCAAAGTAAATACTTTTCATTATAAATTGTCCCATAGCCAGTATTTCTGAGCATACAAATCACCTGGAGATCCCTTATGACACCACCTGGCACTGTCTTTTTGAATGGGACATACTGTAAGTCCTCACTTAATGTCAATAGATTCTTGGAAATTGCAATTTTAAGCAAAATGGTGGATAAGGAAACCAATTTTACTACAGGCTGATACTCAAATAAAAATAAGAGTTAAGTTCCTACGGTGTATTTCTGGTTACAGAAACATCACTTAACTTCTAAATAAAGACCCAAAACACTTCTAAACATTGAAATAAATGTGAACTAGGTATAATTTTTTAAATATTAATAAAAACAAGAGCATTATTTTCCAACCTGATGATACCAGTTCAGGGCTGTAGGGGCCAGAGCCCCTCCCAGCAGTTCAAGGGGCAAGGTGGGACCACGCCTGGACAGGACACCCTCCCATCACAGGGCACATCGCACACACCCACACTCACTCAGACCAGTAGACATGCCCGTTCACCTCACAGGCACATCTTCGGGATGTGGGAGGAAGCTGCAATCCCCAGAGAACACTCACGCAGATGTGTGGAGAACATGCAAACTCCAGACAGTGGCCCCAGCAGGGAATCAAATTTTTTTTCTCGTCAATGTTATAACTAAACAATGTTGAACAAAACTATGCTATTTGAGGACCTGATTGATGTAAGCTCTTCAGCTCTCAATAGTTCTCAACTGGTCACATTACTTATTTTTCACAACTTTTTCTGTTTATAAGCATTTTGACTTTGCTTGCACCAGTACCAAAATTACTCTTATATTCCATACTGTATTTTAGTTACTAGTGTACTTATATCTCTTTATAGTATAAACTGCTTTATGAAACTATGTTACTCATCTCCATACTCTTAGCATCTAGCAGTGTCTTCTTGCAAGGGATTTAAAAATTTACATTTGTTGAGGTCTACACATCATAAATTTAAATACTTTCTATATATTGTTCCCATTTTCCCACAAGAAATATTTCACATCCTGGTAACATTTAACCCAGTGGGGCAATTTTGTTCCCCAGAAGACATCTGGCAATGTCTAGAGACATCTTTGGTTCTCAAAACTTGAGGGTGGGGGTGCTACTGACATCCAATATGTAGGTGCAACATCCCACAATGCACAGGACAACATCTCCACAACAAAGAATCATCCAGAACAAAATGTCAATAGCGCTGAGGTTGGGAAACAGAAATTTGACCAAAGGAATTGTTGTTCAGAGTTTTTACAAGTGGCTGTCTAAGATGGTCTGTTACTTAAGTTAGAATAGTGATACTTGAGGAGCTTGTGGCAATGACATTGGGATTTAAACCACTTCTTGAATGTGTAATTATACTGCTCCCCCAAAAAATGCAACTTTGTGCATGTAATGTCCTTTAAGTCTCTCAAATTTGTTTTAAGATTTGCATCCTCTAAAAGACTACATGTATAATATATATACATATATCTACATAAATGTATATACAT